TGTCCAGAAACACGACTCTAAATACATGATAATGTTGAGAGAGGGCTAATCTGTACATCTGGAGGCCTGGTGGGTGAAGCAGGACGGAGGAAAAGACTCAGGTGACCTCAGCTTGGAAATGATAGAATGCCATTTTACCAGTTCTGCGGATTAGAAGTCTGAAAAGAAAAAAGGCTCCAATTTTCCCAACAGCCATTACACAGAAAGTGCAAAAAAGGGTTTTTTCTTCCCATTTTCACTTCTATTAGACAGAGTTCAGGCGACAACATGGCTGAGTCGACCCTGAAGCACAGAGGGAGGCTTGGCAGGGAACAATACTGCAGTCCAAAAAATACAAACACACAAGGGGAAATGTCTGCAATATGGTTTGGGGGGTCGGGGAGGAGTATTTTTCTAATCACAAGAAAACCTTCTGGCCATATCTTCAATTTTTGTGTGTTTCCATCCTCGATTCCCCACCAGCGATTTTTCGGTCCTCCAATCTTAGTCAGCGCTCTTGGCAGAGGGAACACAAACAACCCTATTCAAAAATAAACACAGCAATTTTGTGCGTGTTTACCTTTCATCCCGCCATATCTATCTGAGAGTCAGCGCCCCAAACTGTTCCGTTCCATTTCACGCCCCGAGGAAGAACCTTGTTTCTTGGCCCACTGTACAGATGAACGAGCGAGATATCGAGCGCCATTATTCTGCACAATCATCTCTATCTTGTCCCCTTTTGCTTTTCTCTTGTGCGCTTTTATAGCTGCATGCTGAACCGCCTGAATGCTAAACTGTGAGGCTTTATTGCAACTGGCAAAGGAACGTTTATGAAAACCGTTTATTTTGTTACGGTGAAAGAAGACATTCGTATGCGTTCATAGAAAATGTGTTACGATGGCACACACATAATTTTGAGTGACTGAGACATGTGTTTACGGAAAGATGTTCCAAGATGCACAAGAGCCACATTTTGCTGCATTGAAGCATATTCAGAACACATAAAACATGCAGACACCATTTATTTTCCTCTGAAATGGTGATGTTTTAAACAACAGTAATCAAGATTCAAGGCAGATCCCTGCATTCTTACTTACTTTCAAAATGGTAAGTGTCACCGTAAAGTTAACGCCTTGAAATCTGCTTCCATGTCTGTAACTAATTACCATTAATTAACATTTCTGGAGAACAGGTAGGTCAGGTATGAGCATGACAAAAGCAAAAGCTTCTGGCTCAATCCAATATATTATCTTTTGCTTAAAGTTTTGTTAAAGTACAATTTCTTCCTACCTGTATGTCTTTTGAATTAATTGGAACTACTGTACAAAGAAGCCCTGACAACAAAATCCTTTATTGTCATTTTACTTAGGCAAAAAAAAAAAGTCAAATAAATATAAAATAATGTTTTTTGACGTGAGGTCATATGTACGGAAGAAGCATGTGAAATATATTTTGAAATCTGACCAAGAGTGCAGTTATTTTTTAATATCAAGAAAAACCTTCCCAAAATTCTGAGTTTTTTTCTCTGAATTCAAAAATTCACTTTTGGTCGGATATCTAAAAAAAATTTCACATGTGACCTTAATCCTTTTCCATACATATGGACACCACAACATTAAAGGTCCCATGTCATGCTTTTCTGGTTATTACCCGTCCCCTTGTGTGTTATGAAGGTTTTTCTGCATGTAAACGGTCTGCAGGGTCACAAACCCTCAAAGTACACCCTGTAGCGAGTACAACTCTAACACAGAAAAGACCTGTCTGTGCTGCCCCAGAACGCCTCGTTGGACATTTCTCTTTTTCCATTGTTTACTTCTTGGGTATAGTGACGTATTTCGGGTATAGTGACGTAACGTAACGTAACGGCTCCGCAGATTGGTCAATTTCCGCGGAGCCGCTACGTTTGGACCAATCCACGGACTTCCTCACACACACACACACTCGGCGGGACGTTGCGAGGCTCGCTGCTGCGAGGAGCGGGACACTGTGAGCTGGCTCACTGGTGTGGGGTCGGCGAGACAGCGAGACACCGCGGAACTCAGCCTGGGCACACACACAAACTCCCAGCCAGGCTGCGGGTGTGTGTGTGTGTGTGTTTGGGGCTGGGTTTCGCTGTGTCTCGCTGTCTCGCAGACGGCCACTGGGCTCACAGGGAGGGGGGGGGACAGGAGCTCCAACAAGCCGTGTAGGACAGAGAGTGAATACACATACTATACAGAGATGCTGTATGAGAAACCAATGTGAGTTTGGGAAATTGCACAATATAAATCTATTCTATTCTAACAATGGAAAAATGATCAGTAGAAATGGCCATGACATGGGACCTATAAAACAATAATTCTTGCTTATTTAAACTTGTAATTTCAGGGCTATCATTAATGTCAGTAAAGTTTGGGGTATTAATTTTACAGTTGCCTGTTTCTTCACTTCCTAAGACTTTCACAGTCTTTTTAAATCGTGTTTCTCCTCCCATCTGGTTACATTTCAGAGTTGTCACAGCCCAACACTAAATAAATTCCAAGATGTAAATAGAAAAAGACAAATTTATCCTTTAACCAACATGGTGTCAGTACATTTATCAGATTTGTAACAGGATATTAAAGTACTGCAGTCATTACTTAGAGCAGTGGGTCCCTGAATCTAAAAAATAACTCAATCCAAACGCAGACTGGAAGTGAAACTGACACTCAAGTAAAGACAAGCAGCTTTTTTTTTAAATATGAAATGTTGACACGTCTGCGCTGTAAGGAATACCTATAGACTCTCAGTTCAAATTATTTTGTAATAAAACATAAATCTCACAATAAGCCACTCATGGTTCTACAGTGTAGAGAGAAATATCTGAGTGTCATGTCTCGAAAGATTATTTAAATTTGTTTTAATATTTAATCGTCTTGTGCCAACGTCTTGTCGTCTAACGCAGACTACCAGCATATATCGCCAAGCTAAGATTATTGATTTGTCCAGTGCCTTGTCCTCTAGAGTGTGATTTTGTTTTGTTAGCTTAGTTTTCCTCTAGTTAGTGTTTTTGTTTTACCATACCTTAAAGGCCCCCTATTATACAATTTTTCGTTACTTTATTATAGGTCTCAGATATATACAGAACATGTCTCCGAAGTGTTCGTCTTCAAACACCAAACAGATTATTGCAGCGTCCCATAATCCCCTCTGTTTCAGCCCTGTTTCAAAAGTGCTGATTCTCTGTCTGTTACTTTAGATGAAAATAAGGAGCCCCTCCCCACGCCCCTCTGAGAGATATTTGGTTAAAAAGAACACAAAGGTGCTCTAGGAGGAGATTCAGGTGATAAGGTGGGGGGGGGGGTTACCTTGGTTGGTGATTGGCTAATGGTTACTCAAGCCAACACATCGTTATGACATCACAAACTGGCCAAAATCTGATCAGCTCATTTTCAGACAGGTTTTTATAGAAATGGATCAGGACAAAAAGAGAGAGAATCTTTGTTCCTGAAACTTTCAGAGTCTCTTTACACAGAGGGGACACATGCTGATGTAGAAGAGACATGAAGAAGAGGGGACACATGTTGATGTAGAAGAGACATGAAGAAGAGGGGACACATGTTGATGTAGAAGAGACATGAAGAAGAGGGGACACATGTTGATGTAGAAGAGACATGAAGAAGAGGGGACACATGTTGATGTAGAAGAGACATGAAGAAGAGGGGACACATGTTGATGTAGAAGAGACATGAAGAAGAGGGGACACATGTTGATGTAGAAGAGACATGAAGAAGAGGGGACACATGTTGATGTAGAAGAGACATGAAGAAGAGGGGACACATGTTGATGAAGAAGAGACATGAAGAAGAGGGGACACATGTTGATGTAGAAGAGACATGAAGAAGAGGGGGACACATGTTGATGTAGAAGAGACATGAAGAAGAGGGGACACATGTTGATGTAGAAGAGACATGAAGAAGAGGGGACACATGTTGATGTAGAAGAGACATGAAGAAGAGGGGACACATGTTGATGTAGAAGAGACATGAAGAAGAGGGGACACATGTTGATGTAGAAGAGACATGAAGAAGAGGGGACACATGTTGATGTAGAAGAACATGAAGAAGAGGGACACATGTTGATGTAGAAGAGACATGAAGAAGAGGGGACACATGTTGATGTAGAAGAGACATGAGAAGAGGGGACACATGTTGATGTAGAAGAGACATGAAGAAGAGGGGACACATGTTGATGTAAGAAGATACATGAAGAAGAGGGGACACATGTTGAATTGTAAGAAGAGACATGAAAGAAGAGGGGACACATGTTGATGTAGAAGAGACATGAAGAAGAAGGGGACACATGTTGATGTAGAAGAGACATGAAGAAGAGGGGACACATGTTGATGTAGAAGAGACATGAGAAGAGGGACACATGGTGATGTAGAAGAGACAGAAGAAGATGGGGACACATGTTGATGTAGAAGAGACACTGAAGAAGAGGGGACAACATGGTGATGTAGAAGATACATGAAGAAGATGGGGACACATGTTGATGTAGAAGAGACATGAAGAAGAGGGGACAACATGTTGATGTAGAAGAGACATGAAGAAGAGGGGACACATGTTGATGTAGAAGAGACATGAAGAAGAGGGGACACATTGTTGATGTAGAAGAGACATGAAGAAGAGGGGACACATGTGATGATGTAGAAGAGACATGAAGAAGAGGGGACACATGTTGATGTAGAAGAGACATGAAGAAGAGGGGACACATGTTGATGTAGAAGAGACATGAAGAAGAGGATTTTGCATAATACAGTAGGTGACCTTTAAAATACGTTTCTTCCTCTAGTGAGTGATTCTTTGTTTGAAACTTTGTATACTGTGTTTAAACTAATAAATACTTTATTCTGAAAAGACCTTCTGTGTTTGGGTTCATGCCTCAGAGTGCGGTCCTGACAGTGAGCTTTGGTCCTTAGTCGATGTCTTACAGTAACTCTCCCAGGTAAACAGTTTCTTAGAGTTATCAGATGTTTATAAATCACAAGCTTGTTGTCTGACCTTGGATGGAGACCTTGGGATGTTCCTTCTTGGTGCACTCAGGCTGGGTCAGCGGGTCGAAGAGCGACGGGGTCGTGGGGTCGACCGGGGTCTGCATGGAGACCGTGGGGAGGAGGAGGAGGAGGAAGAGGAGGAGGGCGGCCATTAACGAGGGGGCGGGGTCCTGCGAGGTCGTCGTCATGGTGATGACCTCTCCTCTAACTGCCAAGGTGGGCCTCTGGGATACAGCTGCAGGAGAGAAGATTCAAGATTCAAGATTCAAAGGTTTCAAAGGTGTTATTGTCATAAGCACAAAGCTATGTAGAAATGGCAATGAAAGTCTTCTGACCTGAGCTCCTCCAACAATGCAAGATATATAATAAAATACAAAAATAAAAAGTACAAAAGGTCTATATACATGTCAATAGAATATGATATGTACAAGAACAGAATATGAAATTAAATAATGTACATTGAGGCAAAATTAAATACGGTTTATTGCGGTGATAACTATTTATTTAAATTAGTAGATTGCAAGATGACAACAGGAATATTTATCGGGGCGAAAACAGAGTTCAGGTGTTTAGCAGTCTTATGGCGAAGAGACCACGACTTCAGAACCTCAATGACACACTTTCCCACCTGGCTTCAAAGAGAGGAAGATATTCCTCCTCTTTCTCTTCAGCTATACTTGAAAAATAATTTCTTCTCTTCAAAGTTCAATTCCTGTGGGCTCCTGGCTCTCAATGCAGCCACAGAAAGAGAATAAAATAAACCATTTTGGGTAAAAAAAAGTACATGTCCGTGGGATGAAAGCAAGGATAACTGCAAAGAGGAAATATAAAGCGGAAAACTAAAATACGAAAGACAACTTTTTGAAGTAAAATACAGAGAAAAGAAGAGAGGAATGAAGGTGTGAAGGACAAGACAACTCTATTAGCAATCAGGTATCTCAAAGAAATACCTCACCTCTGACCTCGAGGTAATTATTTAAAAATGTGTAATTAAACCTTGAGAGTTTGTTTAATGGCCGATTGAAATGAGAACATTAGTGCACTGCTCAATGAGGCGAGAGCTTCCACGAGTCGATGAAGCAGAAATACGAATGTGTGTCTTTCAAAGAAGTTCTGTAAAATGTTTGCACACTCACAGAGTTATTTCAGTGCAGGTTGTGAGGCTTATCAACACATGACTAATATCCAGTCATCCTCTGACCTCCTTATCCCAGTGTTATTTAAGCAAAGCCAGCCGGCAGACACACACACTTACGTTCCTACACAAAACACACACTTCCTGAGTAAATGTAATCTCCTCAGTCATAACATATGAGTGTAGAGGGCTGAGCTGAAACCCGCAGTTCATCATCTCTCTCCTTACGATGTTAGCTTAGCGAGGTGTAATATCATTTAAGTAGATTAAAAACTGAGAGCATCAACTTTCTGCAGCACTCTGGCTGGGACACATCTCTCTGTAGTGTGTTCCCTGCTAATGCGTCAATCAATAACAAATTATGAGCTTGGTTGAGTTGCAAATCAACCATTTTACCCCGCAATCAATTATCCCTCTCTGTACAGCTGGTAACTAATCAGGCAAATGTGCAGAGGGCCTGTGTTTGTCATTACAAAACAGTTCTAGAGTCAACAGGGCCCCGCTACTGCCAGCCAACACACAGTGGGTGTTTCTCAATGTCGAGTACGCTTGCTTGGTAGCACATGTCTTCCGAGCGTCTTGCTTCAGAAGCGAGGCAAGAATACTTCCTGGCATTCGGAAAACAAAGAGTGGAACAGGCTAGCCCCGCCTCTTACATTTTCCGCCACAGATTTGGGGAAATTGGTCCGTGCGCAAAGCATTGTGGGGATTTTAAGACCGCGGAGTCTACTCATGTGCAGCCTCGACATTTCTCCAAACGGAGTACGCCGGGCTCGGTAGATTTCCAAGTATGCTGGACATTGGAACAGTCCTTCGGCGGCACTCGATGACGTAGTATGCTTGAAATAGTGGCTCTGGAGCAGCTTTACTCGACATTGAGAAACACGCAGTGGGTGAAACAGGTGGAAGTATTCAATGTCCTCCGCTCCAGACTGACTCTTTCTGTTAAGAGCACAGACTGAAAGCACTTCAGTAAGAAAATGCAATGTTCTGCGTTGAAAGGCAATCCAGAAAGTCCTGATTGAGTGATGCATCAGTTTCAGGCTCTTTATCATACCTAGGCTGCTTCTTACTTGAGTCCTTTAATACTTAACGAGCATTTGTGTTCCAAAAAAAGCCTGGTATATTGTTCTGCTTTTACCAAATGAAAAGCCCATATCTAGGTGTTTTTAGGGTATCATAATTATGGTGGCTGACGGGTGCAAACGGGTAGCAACGGCCCAAAACATTTCCTTAAAGGAGAAACATGCTGCAGCTTCAGAAACGATGCAAATGTGCCAAAAGCCATGCATGATGAAAACATCTTCACCAACCTTTAGAAAACATATAATAATAATAATAATAATAATAATAATAATGGGTTTCATTTATAAAGCACTTCATATTTGACTTCAAATCCCGAAGTGCTACAAGCAGTGAGCATGGAACAGTATAAAAACAGTACGCAACACGGTAGAATGAATAAAAAGCAATAAAAACAAAAGGGTGGTAATAAATATAAGGTCTAGGGAAAGGCTCTATTGAATAGATGGGTTTTGAGGCCTTTTTTCAAACATTCTTCGACTAAAAGTGCTGCATAACGAAACGCAACAAATACAAAACGCTGCAAGAAGCTCAAAACACCACTAAAAAGTGACGCACACAGCTGGGACTGGAGCACTTGGTGACGTTTGGGGGTTAATAAAGTTGACCAGCTGTTACTGTCACTGGAAACTCACCTAAAATGTAAGTTTTATTGGCTTTTAATCAACTGATTCCTTCAGATATGATTGCAGATCTGCTATAACCTAGCTAGCTCACGTAGTAAAAAATACTGACAAAACACTCACAATTATGAAAAATGATGCTAACTTTGCCAACAGTGACAGTTCAGTGAGTGTTTTCTAAATACTGTGCATGTGTAGTCAAGCTGTCAATAATGTTTCCTTGTCAGAAAAGTTTCCCTAATTCACATATATATATATTTTTCTTTTTGCCATTGAGTGGAAATAAGCTTAAATCTGTTAAATGTAGTTTCACATGCCCCCTCCTGCAGACAGATGTCTGATTTTCAAAGAGTTGTTTGTTTCACAGAGCAAGCATGATTGTTGGAGTGTGCCATCAAATCGAGCTTCTCAAAAATAGATCATGCCACTCTCCTCGCCTCATGTTTTCAGACCGACCCCTGGAGGACCTCAGCGCTTCATTACATCTATTCCCGTGTTACTCATTAGCTAAATTACTGTATGTACTTTAAGTTAATCAACATTAGTTTGCCAGCTTTTAAATGGTTGCCTGTTCTGTCTGTAGGAAAGCAATTTCTAAGGGTTTGAGAGTCCTCATTATCATCTGTATTTGATAGATATTTGTAACCTAGACTGTGTCCATGCGCACCTGTGAGTTCTATGTTTTCCTGGCTGTGAAACACACTTCCTCTCGGGGATATATATAGTCTAAGTTGAAGCTGAAACTGAAGTGTGGAGCTGGCTGGGAGTTGATGACTGATCGCTCCTATTTGCAGACTGTTTTCCGGCCCAACAACCGAGTAATCTTCCATTTAACCCAGACTGCTATTTGCTGCTTCTCTGCTTTCTGGTTCTGTTACCAAAACCTTGGCAAGCTCACATTACAGTGTCTCAGATCACATGACTAACACAAGTCAAGCTGGGTTTTCTCTGTCTACGCAAAAAAGCAAACAACCTTTTTGTTTTTGGAAGTTCAAAATCACTGATGTGTAGAGGGTTGAAAAGTAAAAAAGGTGATGGAGTTACTTCTGTTGTTAGATTTAAAGGGCACCTATCATGCTATTTTTATGCATTAGCATAGGTCTCAGATATATATAAATATATAAAAAACATGTCTATGAAGTGTTTTGCTCAAAATACCAAACAGATCACCCATTCTAGCCATGCCTCATATCCCTCTATTTCACTTCCTGTTTCAAAAGTCCTGATTTTGGGTATAAAGCTTTAAAAAAAAAAAAAATGTGATTAAAAAAAGGAGGGGTCTGAGCTCATGCGGGACCCGGCAGCTACCGTCTAAACTAAATACTGCCGTTATGAAACGCCATATCATGAAGGATCATTTCTGAAACAGTATGGAGCTCAAAGTAGGGCTGTGCGATTATGGCAAAAATCATAATCACGATTATTTGGGTCAATAATTGATATCACGATTATTAAATACGATTATTCATTGACTTTGAAAACATCCATTTATTGAACTTTAAAACAAATACAAATAATAATTTGAACAGTATCTTTTTAACTGTTGATTACCCTGAACGTATAATTCAACTGAAAAACCAATACAAAAATAAATGATACATTTAAATAAATAATATCAAAATAATAAATACCAATAAACAAGATCAACAAATATTTTAGAGCGCACTTCAACAAGCTACTAAACATATGTAAATATGATAAATACAAATAAATTAGACTAAAATAAATTAGATCAAATATGTTGTCTGTCACAACCAAGCAAAGCAAAATAATCGTTTTTTTCGATTATGTTGTTTTCGTAATTGTGGCAGGCCAAAATCGTAATTGCGATTAAAATACTATTAATTGCACAGCCCTAGCTCAAAGGCTTTCTCTCTTGCCGGTTATACCACAAGGTGAGTTCCTTTTTATTTCCTGCTTCTTCACACACATGCTCCCCAGTACAGGTTAGCTCTGAGTGTTAGCGATGCTAATGTAAACACCGACCATATTACGTCCAAAACAGTCGGGCATTGTTTCTGATAGCAACGTTTCTGATAGGGCCGTGGGTCCACATTTCAGATATTACGTCATATCGGACGCAAATCTGGATCAGCTCCATTGTAGCCCCGTTTTTAGAGATTTGGGTACGGAGGAAAAGAGAGAGGGGTTTTATTTTCTGACGCTGCGTGAGTTCCCTGACACACCGGGGACACATATTCATGTATAAAAGACATCACAAAGTGCATTTTGCATGATAGGTCCCCTTTAATTAAAACTCACCATATGTTTCCTCTTTTTAGCATCTGGCTGTTCATGTCATAATTAACACTTCACTGATAAGTTTGGGGGAAGTGCACACTGACAGGTGTCTAGTTAACTTTCTAAACTCTTAGTTTCATAATTAATTAAATT